AGCTGTAAGGCAGAGTAGTCGATGCCTTTTTCCTCCAGGAGACAACCGACCAGAGTCAGAGAAGCAGAGTTCAGACTGCAGACCGGTGAGTCACCTGAAGGTTACAGTGTTGGTTAGGAAAATCCCAGTTAGAGGGTTTGCTCCAATCATTCAGACCTGTCTTTATGGTGTCACAGCTGTCATACCCAAAGAGTTGGTCTCTCTGTACTTGGAGGCAAAAATGGCTCTACAGAGGCAGCCAGTTTCTCCACCAGCAGTCTTCTCTCCACAGAACTCATGATCGCTGCAGGTCCTGTCCTGGCAGAAGGCCCTAGGGGGCGCTGCAGAGCAACATTCATCATATATTAAGCTGAAAATGGTAAACTTCTTCAGAACAGATGAAGACAATCAGGTCTCACAGCACTCAGCCTTGGACCTCCAGTCCCCCAGGGTGCTGTTGCTCCTCATGCTGCAGGCTCTGGCGTAGGCCTCCAGGAACTGACACCTGAGGCCGTCCAGATCAGGATAGCTGCACAAAGTGTCTTTGCAGGCGGCGATGTGGGGCTCTGGGTCAATGTCATAGGATGTAAAGGGCGCCTCCTGTAGGATGTTACAGCTGCTCCACATGTAGAAAGAAACATGGAGAACATAGATGATGGGGAAAGAGATTTATCTCCCATCAGAGCTCAGGTCACATGATATTAAAGATGTGATGTAACATGTAGTTTCCCACAGAGATCAGAGTTAAACACACAGATGTTTCTGAATGAATCTGCTCACCGTTCAGACATCTTGGTGCAGTTGATCAAACTGTCACTGGTGTCGGCGTGCTGCTTCTCACAGCTAGGGGGCGACACACAACAAGGTCAGGACTGATTCCTGAGCAGATGTAGAGTCCACTCATCCAGCAGCAGCAGTCAGTGAGGAGGTCTTACCTGGTGGAGTTGTCCTCAGAGAGCCTCTCTTCACTCAGAGACCTGCTGGAGTTTCCACACAGACCCTGTGGAGGCTGTCCAGGTGGTCCTGGATAGGATCAGGACACAATGAGAGTCAAACTGGAGGAACACAGCAGCTGAAACAAGGACAGCAGAGTTTAAGTTCATCATGACCCAAACCTGACCAGTGTTCTGTACCTTCCAGGTGGATCTGTGTGGTGGAGCCATCAAAGAAGACAGAAGCAGTGAAGTCTGAGAGCGTCACCTTGGCAGTGACTCCAGTTTGGTCCTTAGAGAGCTGCACGCCGTGAACAGTCTGAACCGAGCTGTTGAGGTTCAGCTCTGAGTTGTTCAGCTGGTTCACAAAGAGACAAAGTGGAGGAAACACTGAGGGGAACGTTTCAAACCCAAAACCTGACTGTTTCTATGGCAACAACCACTAAGTTTAGCAGCATTCAGAGAGCTGATGCCACTGAGGAAACCAGAGACACCGTCAGGATCAAACTACTCTCTGATCTACGACCTGTGTCTGCAGGCGACTCACCACAACTCTGCCTCCTTGGTTCAGACCAATGGCCTGTCCTGCCAGTTGCAGCGTCACGCTGTCCAGGAAGCTCACATCTTTACGACGGCGCTCCTGGAAGTTGGCCAGAACCTGGAAGCCTGGTGCTGATGGGATCCTCAGCAGAGAGTATGAACAGCGATCCTTCACAGAGTTCTGCTGGCCGTGGAAGTCGATGACAGTGGGACCCGTCACCGTGCAGATGGCGTCCATCATGGAGTCAGAGGAGCA